AGAGGGCCAAAGGGTCATCAGTTGTACTTAAATTGTTACGTGCTACCCTCTTAAAATAAAGTCATTATCTTATCTTATCTGATCTTATCTTTAATTGGAAAAAGAGTGCTGGAGAAGCCATCTCACGTATGTGCTAATGCATATATATATTGAATGTAATCGCAAAATATTCTCGTTAATGAAAATCTTACAGACAAGAAAATCCTACAGTTAACGATACTCAAGGAAATATGATCTTCTCTAGAACTTAAAGAGTGCATGTAACCTGGCGGGAACAAGCTAGTCGCGGAGTACATGTAAGTCTATTAAATGTATGTATGTATGTAGGTATATATGTTTGAATGTATGTACGTATTTGTGACATTCAGACAGGCTGGCCCAGTTCAGCTCGAAGCTGGTTTAAATCAGTGGAGGCGTGTATAAACAACGACAAGGCCACACCACAATTCCGGAAGGTATAAAGGCAACTGATCTGATTGGAGCGCAATTTGATCTAAAATCGTACGAGTGATTTCAAAATCAATCGAGTGTACAGCTTAATTAACTTTAATTTCAAATCACAGGTATGATTTCACACCAAAATTGCATAAGTTAAATTACCACTTTTTTGCATCCATTTTGAAATGACAAAATTTAATCACTCAAATACAGGATTATTAAGTTGGTACAAATAATTTATTGATCTAATAATGAGTTGGTTGGTAAAAAGTTGCAAGAGTTGTCTTTCATTTCTTGCCATTTGATCAGTCACTTTAAACTAACCCTTAAATCTGATTGGTTATTGCGTTTAAGTAAAGCTATGGTACTGGCTAGGAAAGAGACGCGATTTATAGCAAAAAATGGTGAGATTCGTCGAAAAATCCCACCAATAAGAGCCAACCAGATTGCAAGGAACCGTGCGATTTCAAAGTGAAGCTACAAAGAGATATATATTTAAATATAGAGAACAGTCCACTGTTGTTGCTCAGCATGGCATCTCCATCCCCATCCCCATCCCCCCTCCCGGGATTGCAGAGGTGGGATGTTATAGCTTTGAATTTGATTGACACAGTAAACAACAGGGGACACATTTGGGGACAAGTAGAAATTGTCGAGAGAAAAAGACAGATTTTACTAATCCAATGATCATCAACTTTAACAACTGGAATTTAAGACTATTAGAGTTGAGCTTTTACTTTTTACAATCGGCGTAGCATTTTTGGTACATGCGCTGAATATGTTAAGCATTTCCTATCGGTTTAGATAACCCATACTTTCCATGCTTCTTTTATCTAACCCCGAACATGGCTAAACATGATAACGATTCAATTGATTTCCGATTCGCGACTTTTAAACTACATATCGCTGGTCTTATTTACGCAGGCTTCAAAGTAGATTATCAATTTTACCTAAATCCCTAAAGATGACTTATCGTTACTTCTTGATCCACCATTAAAGTTAATAACATCATTAGCAAAACGACAAAGCTTCATTTAAGCTTCATTCCTAGATCCCTATGAAAGCATTACAAAGTTACAAAGCGATACTACTTGTCACTTTCGTTTTTTGATTATTCTAGACCTTAGTGGAGGGTCTCACTGGGGTGATGTATTTTACGACTAACGGTTAATTTCTTCCTGTAACAGTTAACAGAAATGTTACAAATTAGTTTCAATCATTGTGAAAACTTAATGACTATTTTTCGGTGTTTTAAAACACAGTTATCCGCTTGCTTTTACCACAAGACTCAGGCAACCAGGCCGATTTGAGATCGTGCTGCTCTTCGGCTGATATTAAAAAATTTCTGTCGGCCACAAGACTAGACTTGTAGCGCTCTAAGATTTTGACACTTTCTAAACGACGCATCGTAGATAAGAAAACATTTTACGATCAACTTTATTTATGACTATTGGTTACAATATGCCAATTTTTACGCCTGAGAGCTAAACTGTTTTGCAGTTTTACGGCTAACGGTTAACCCCATTGAGACCCTCTTGGTGAATCATAAACAAAGCAACACAGCTTTATCCGCAGCATGACGGCACGGAGGGGTGTTAGCATTCAAGTTGTTATGCAGTTTACACCCTTCACTCTCAAGGTTGATCAATAAGTAATTGTACTCGTTAAATTGCCTCTCCTTTTACCAGCTCATCTTGGACGACCTCTGTTGATGAATTAAAAATGGTCATTATCATGTAGGATCTCTGCAAAGGGTGTGTACAATCCGCTTGTCTGAAATTCGCAAAATAGATGTTCTTCTTTTGGAAGATGTTGTTGTTGAGTATTTATTCGGTCGGTGTAGGCGAGCATTGCATCTTTTATTGAACCGAACAATACAGGGTCAGATAATTGAAAGAAAGCGAAAGGGCCAAGTCAATAAGCCTAGTGACTTATTTTACTTCTATCAATGCATTTAGGTAAGTTATACCAAAAATTAAAATTTTGTTACCGCAGTCCTTCTTTTCGTCGCCATGTGACTTCCTGCCCGTTCTCATTCTGCCATCAGAAGTCATAGCTATCGATGTTTCCGTTTGCGAACCCAGTGACTGTTTCTTACAAAGCTTGCGAATGGCTTCTCGGACCTTGTGAAAAACAGTGGTGAAATGTAGTAACCTCCCCACATAGTAAGATGAGAACGATTGAGAACATGAAAGGACCTGTCCAGTCTCTAAATTTGACTTTTTATGACTGAGTTAGGAATGATGAACGAAAAAAAGAAGCTGCTCCATGAGGAGAAAGGTTGTACTGCAGCTGCAAGGCCCCCTGGGCCTCACTTCTGTAAGTACAGGGCTATATTGCATTTCAACTATTATTTGCGATGAGAACTTGAAACTGTAAGCTGATAAACAATTTGTGATCTTAAACAAGCATATTTAGTACGTCTGCAACACAAGACCCTTTTCCTCTTTCTCCTATTTCCTACCGTTTTCCTTCTTCCCTGTTACAATGCAAATTGCACTTGGTGTTTTCTTTTTCATGACATAAATGTAGTCTCCTAAAAGGTGCGTGGTGTCTTCACTTAATTAAACTTCAGACTCTACAACAGAGGTGCCTGAACACCCTCTTGAAATGCATTAAAAAATTAGCGATATACTAAACTATCATTGTGCATCTACTTTACTGGGGCAGACATCCCCTCCTTCAAAGCTTTGAATAATAATTTTCTCCCCAGTAAAATAAAAAGTATTCTGGAAAAAAATTTGGAAATACCAAACAACATCATCACGCATCATTAAACACTAAATCAAAACTGAATTATTGACTGTTTGTTTGCTATCGATTGCTACCGTTCTTATTTGCTCTATGGACTTAGAATGCCTTTTGTGCATGCAAGCCCCTCTGAAAAAACTTTTGTCAATAATCTCGATGTACCTGATCGTCAAGTATGCAGTGAAAGACACAAAATACGACTCCCTAAGGGAAAGATTCAAAGGAATATCGATTAGAAAGCAATATATCTCTATATATTCTTAATAAATCGACACGATTTTCCATGATAGGATTAATAAGAAACTGAAATCCATTCATAATCAGTATCTTCTTATCTTACCTGAGTTGAGTTGAGCACAATAAAGATATAACGCAAAGCGTCATTGAACTGTACGAATCCAAACAAATACGTGACACCAAGTAAAGGAAGCAAAGCAAGAATACTCTTTAGACCTTTCCTGAAATAAGTGAGTCAGCATGCATTAGTTGGTAAGTAAAGAAAACTTGAAAAAGCGAAAGCGATAAATTTACTCAAATTGACGCTCATATTATGAAATCTCTAAAACCTATTTTAAAAGCGATATCCACGAAACGGTACTCGTAGTTAAAGCAAACCTGTATCGTTATTATCTGGCGTATATCACAAAGCTTTGTAGAGAGGTGAGGTACGACACGTAAAAGTCATTACTTTTTGCTAACAAAAGTGTCTCTCACTTTGAAGCTTCCAAGCTGTTTTTACTATATTTGTAGGCCAGCTTCCCAAAGACAACTCGCAGAAGAATAGCAAAAATGACAACATTTCCCTGGGGAAAAAAATAGGAGCACAAGAAAGGCAAAATAAAAAAAAACAAAAGTTTTAATTAGATTCAAGTCTCTAGAAATAAAAAGAGGACTTGAGTGAGACTCCCGAGATTGCCTAAGATGTTATAACGACATTTAGAGGTTACTTCAGAAAGACTAAAATCCGACTTTACAAGATGTAAATTGCTCAACAACGAGGCATCATATCCCTGTTTCTACCTCTCCTGCTCACTGCTTATTACAGAAAACGTCTGGGACGTTGCGGCGGTTTTTGGAAAACATATGGCGCGAAAAAGAGAACATGAAAGGTGTATCAATGTGGAGAGCTAATTCTACCATTGCATGCTCACAAACTGAAAAAAAAGTTGCAAATATGAAAAAATATTCTAAAGCCGCAAAAAGATCGGCGAATATGATCGCAGATCTCTCACAGCAAGAGGAGGAGTAGGAATACTAACTCTGGGGGAGGAGCGAAAACAAAAGCGGCGCTATTTGAGGGATTTACGTTATTTCCCGAGAATAAACACAAAACAAACGTGAAAAATACCAGAAGAATGGCCAAAACTGGTCCTTTAAAAATCCACTGGTTTCCGTTGAGCCAGCATCTAAGCAGTTTTTTTATGATGAGAGAGAGAGTTAGCAAATAGATATACAATTTTTTAATTTTTGAGACAAGAAAGGTGCACTCATTCTTCCTTCTGTTTTAACTTTTCCTGCCTGTCGTAACCCGTACTGGTCTAAAAGGGGTTTCTTTTAGGTTGAGAAAACCTGATTAGAATTCAATGTTGCCTAGGCTAAATGGCAACTACGATCACCGTTGCACAAAAACACCCTGTGCATGTGCCCTAAACAGCTTCAATGACAACTGGACACTGGAGCACCGTCATGCTAAATCCCCTGAAATTTCAATGCTGAATATTGTCGTTCGATAAATTATTGTCAATTAGAACGCAAATTTCAACAAATTTTGTTCTGTAATTTATGATCAGTAAATTGTATCGAGGGGATGGTGATGCAGATAAAATAACCAGCTGTCTCAATTTAGAAGTATCAAGACAATGTGACTTTAAAATATTTCTAGTTGTGATATCGAGTGTTGAGTGCTGGCGAAATATTCACAAACCTGTCCCGCTTTATTTCCATTCGTATAACCAAGGAGCCACAAGTGATATCGGTGAATGTGACTTTCCCCATGTCATAACTCGACGGTTCAATGGCTGCCACCAATCCCACAATCACCAGAGGGATTCCTGTAAGACATACATATATTCACCAAGTCAAAACAAAGATGCTGCATTGTGAGGGTGGATCAAGAGGGTCTGTCACAAAAGGTAGTTGAAGCTTCTCCAAGATCACAATGTCAGCTGATTGTTATGAAAATTGAGTGCTCTTGTAAAGCGTGCATGGAATTTTTCAGCCCCTCTTATTCAGATGCTAAGGTGGTTTTAGCATGGACCCTTCAAAGGAGCATACAAGTTTTTTTTATATCTACACGCGTTATATATTAGTTTTCCGGGAAGGTCTGTCCTTGAAAAGCTTGTGAAACTTATGGGGAACTGGCACCATCGTTTCGCACAGTTGCCAGATGGATGCAGCATTTTGATAAAACACGTCCAAAGATCCAGAAAACAGGTTTCCGTTCAAGAAAGATGTTTACTAATTTCTTTAATTCTCAGGGGCCTTACAAAGCTACAATCACTGCCACATATCTCACTACTTCAGTCTTTCCAAAAGCTCATTTACATATGCAGTCAACAGCACGGACTCGAAGTCGGTCTCGATACCAGTTGCATCATGACTGTGCAGTCCCCCAAAAAGCTCGCCTCACACAGAGGTACCTTGATGACAACGCTACTCGTTTAATGGAACATCCACCATACTCTCACGACTTAGCTTCTTTCAATTTCTGGCTCTTCCCAAAAAATAAATCCGCCATCACTGGAAACCCATTTCAAAAGGTGCAAGACCTTGCCAAGGCTGTCCATTCACAGATGAGAGTTATGCCTATTTCAGAGTACCCGCAATGCTTTCAGAACGATGTAAAGGAGTTGAGGGAAGTTATCTTCGAGGGGATGTAACTGTAATTTCAGGAATTGTAATACATCATGGGAAATATGGGAGAAATGACGGAACTTTTTGATCGGCCCTCGTACTCCAAATATCGTCCTCAGTCAGTCAAATAATGAACAATTTGCGATCAAGTCAAGTTCAAAATGAGAAAATAGGTATATTATTTTTGCATGGAAAAGCTGTACCAACTTTCCCACAGTTGCTACACATTCCCCTTTCAAAAGTCTCCGTTGCATGAAGATATGTTATTCCCCACCTGAGAGGAACGTATTGGGAGATACTGTGCCCAAGGCCTTGGTTACTGCCCGAGGAGATAGGCCGACAGCGGTACACAAGAATGAGGTGAAAAACATTTTTATCTTTTTTTTTCAACGAGATGCTTGCCAAAAGATCCCGACCTATTTTCTTCCTAAATTGAACAATGTTTAAGTGAATAGATGGTAGTGAAAACTGAGGTAATGCAATCATCAGAGAAAGGCTCATCGAAACACTTTTATTTGCGTACATAGAGGTGATTTGAAAAGGTCCCAAGCGAACTTTGAAATATTTTTTTAAAAGTATCTGTCACGATCTGATAGCTGTCGATTGGAGAGCACCACGCGAGAAAAAAAAACCTATGTACACTTTTGAAAACAAACAATGGCACAGGTTTGGCACACAAAGTAAAGTTTAATGACTATCAGGACAATTTTTCTTTAAGAAAAGTCGGTAATCTTATGGAGTATTATTCACTTTCATCGACGTTTAATCTACGAAGATTACCTCTGTACAGTAAATGGCGAAGAAAAGAATTGTAAGTAAATTCAAACGTATGTTTTGAGTTGTGAGAGTTTGCTCGTTTCTTTACTGCAATGGCATTTGTAAAACTTTTCTTTCTTCCACCGAAAAACTTAACTCAAATGAGGTACTGCAAGTAGACACAAGGGGAATTAATGTGGCTTATTCGGTTTCTTTTATGCAAGCAACGGTACAAACGTCCAAATTTAACGGGCATCGGGAGACTTACCGAAAGTGTATTTGTAGACTTAAAACCTCGCTTACCGTTTTACAACAAACAAAATGTTTCGGAGAGTTCAGATATCAAACGAATAAGAGTTAGCTAGGCTAATTTAAATGTAAAAAAGATACCTTACCTTTAACTTTCTAAGTTTCTTTTTTTGAAGGATTAAATAAAATCAAGTACAAACGGTTTTTAGGCGGCGTGTCAACCAACCCATATACGGGTAGTAAAACATATGCTACCACAAAATTCAATTCCAAACCAATTTTTTGCAGGCAACTAAAACGATTTGGGAGAGAGGGCCTGTATTAGTAACCAATTGATTATCTATCAGCATAGCTCGAATCTACTTAACAGTAGATCCTATTTACCTCCAATGCATCTAGAAAAAAAACCTCAAAACGAGACAAGATCTTCCGCTTTAAAGCGAATAACCAGAAACTAGCTCATTGGATGCAACATTTGCATGTATCAATTAGGGGTTATACAAACTGCCATCATGAATTCTCCCCAATTAGTGACTCAGGATAGGAATAATGAAAGGAATACATGAAATTTGTTGGTCTTACCCCAGCCCACTGCCACGTAGGTCACATATTGCTTGTTCAGAGAGAAGACCTTGACCAACTTGATGTACAGATTTATTCCTTCAACCAACATCCAGGTAAATATTGCAGTGTAAAGAAAGTGCTCGACCACTGCCAGGGTCGTGCAAAACGCCTAAGAAATTCAGCTCTTGATTACTGCCACGTATGACATTGGATAACCTTAAAATATTATGTGTTAAACTGTTGGTGATGATGCAATTTCATAGATGAAATCCTTCTTGGAAATATATTACTAGCGGAGCTCGCAGCGCGCGCAGCGAAGCCTCGTAATTATACAAAATGGCAGTAGTAACCCATCAAGCCGAAAAAATCTGGACTTATGACCGTACGGGCGTCCGTACAAGGTGCTACTGTTATCATGCGCGGTCAACTGTAGTGGTCCAGTGGTCAGTGCACTGCGCTCCAAGTCGGACGACCTAGGTTCGAATCCTGGGAAAGGTGTTATTTTTATTTTTATTTTTTTTATTTTTTTCGAATCCAGGGAAAGGCGTTATTTTTATTTTTATTTTTTTTATTTTTTCTAATAAATTTACTTGAAGCATTTCTTGCGTCTACATACAGAGTAGAAATTAAGAAGAAATAGGAAAATGATTAAAAAAAGAGAGAAAAAGACACGCACACACACACACACACACACTCAGACACCCTTATATAGTACAAATAGAAGAATACTAAGCTAAAACACACACAAAGCTGATACAGTTACCCAGTATATAAGGCAAGGCGTTGTGCCCTTAAGACGTGCGGAAAAAAAATGCGAGCTCCGCTTTTAGGCTTGGCTAAATCTATACATTATTTTAGTCTGCGGGAGGCCTGTTCTATTTCCACCGGCCGAAAACGGACACGGATTTCTGAAAATGTTTCAAACAGTTGGAAAATAGTGGTGCGACATCCAAAATTTCCAAAGACGTTAGGCAGTCGTAATTTCCGAACATAGTGTTAAGTGCTCATTAACTGGAAGAACAAGCCTGCTGGTAGGAATATGTATGTGTGCAAATAGTGTCTCCGCAACTTACAGGATATTTCTCTCTAGTTTTGAAGAATGTCGCATCTAGAACACCCACGAGGTTACCGAGGCCCATTGACAGCAGAAGATTTTTATGCACAAACAACTTTTCACTCTTTATCCTGAGATATAAAATGTAAATTAATGTGGTAAAGTGAAAGCGAACGAAAGATTTTACGCTTTAAAGCAGCAACTCTCACGTACATGTACCACTATTATCACATCAATATCAATAAATATAGGTCTATCCGCGATATCTTTTGTCAGATATCACACGGTTTAATTGGGCCATACAATACCGCACCTACTTGTAGACACTTTACCTTATGACTGTAAGGAGTACAAGTGACACGAACACTGCTGCTATTGAAATACAAATGAGAACCAACTCCAAGTTGCCCTGAATTTCTCTTTGTTTGAGTGACTCGGGCGTGAGCTCAGGGTTGAGGATCACTTGATCTCCGCTTTCCTACCACACAAAGAAAGCAATGTTATAAGAACGTATTTTCCTTTCCAGTGACCCTAGCCTTTTGAAGGCAACGGAAAAATCGTCTGCTTTTATTTTTTCAGGATAAAGATTTTGATGAAAACTCGTTTCCATGAAAGGATTGCTAGTGATGCCGGATAAGAAAACGTACATGGAAGGTGGGAATTTAGCTTTAATGACATGTACCGACAAAAGCTTAAACGGAAGAACTAGATGAACTTTTTAAGACTTCCGTTGAGAATGTGGTTGATTTTTGTTAGACTGCCCACTGGTTTACTGGGGGACCAGAAAAAATAAAGGTATAAAGATATGAGTACACAAGAGTACTCTAGCTGATTCACAGGTTCATTTTTCAAATGCAGTTTGTAATCACCAGTTGTAAAGAACACAACATGATAATCTGTCTGTTAAACAGAATCTAATAGTCATCAAAACCACCTGAAGTATTCATTATACTGATCAGATCTTCAAAACAACGTTAAGCATTTTTTCCTAGAATGTCCACTTTATTTTGCCACTAGAACGAAACTGCTCTCCTCTGCTGCTTGCATATTAGCTGACGGGTGGTCTTCCATGTCTAAAGCACAAATTGTGTCAGTTTAATTTTTCTATCTGGTTCACAGTGACTTTCTCAGAAGCAAAATAACGATTTATTTTTCCATGTCCAGTCATTTATATCCGGATCTAAGAGATTTTGTCCAAGTACTTAAATGTGTATTTACCATCTGTCAGCTCTGCTTAAATGTTCTATTGTTTGTTTTGCTACCGCTTTGACTATTAATTATTTTCTGTAACTTTTTTTTATATTCAATGGTATTTCGAAGTGAACCCTCTCGATGAGTATTTTTACTCTTAGAGTAAACTTTGTCCAATAAATATGTTTAAATTAAAAAACAACAACAACAACAACAACAACAACAACGTCGTTATTACTCAAGTCGAAGGCGACACCGGCGACAAGTACCTTGGAACCGTGGAGGTTACTGAAGAACGACAAAGTACTTTTGCTACATTGTTATCGAATAACGCGATTATGAGCAAATTTACCTCATCGATTGTAATCAGTTTACAGCCATTTGCTTCCATTATCTCTTTTTCTTTGTGGCTGAATGGGACCTTAACCTAAACAACAACAGAACATCATCCTAATTATTGACGGCTTTGCTCTTTCAATAACGTTCAGTTTTAGACAGTTCAGACTAAGACAATTCAGTTAGGGAAGATTCTAAAGAATTGGTTTTGTCATTTAAGGGGTGGAAAAAACTTGACTTCCTAATTCGATTTCTAGGTGATTGATTGTTAACATTATATCTTGACATCATTATCAGCAGTTTACATTAAACCGAAGGTTCACTCCCTCAAAACATGTCATAGCGAAGCTAGTCCCTCCAGACTCTCATTCTTTGTGTTCTCTCTCGTTCTAGACTTATCCTTCACGGCATAGTTTGTTCTCTTTCCTTGCTTTGTATTCAGAAAAACCAAATAAATGATACATTTAAGATTTACAAACGAAACCTGGCGGTTTTTATTGCTTCTCAGTAATGATCTTACAGCCCAAATCTTTTGCCACCATTTTTGCCTTCAGATATGCTAATGGATACTTATTACGTAGTGCAAGACGTACCTTGTCTAAAATATTAGAACTGTTTGTGGTGTTTACGACAGATGTCAGGTTCAGATGAACTTCTTTTGATGGAAAATCTGGCAGCCACCCAAGTGATTTGGAGTTTAACCTGATATCTAACTGGCGTTTTGTGTTGAATCTTCCGGTCGGGACCGTCATTTCTCTGGGGGGGCGTGGGGCAAATATCCCAGACATCGCAGGACCGCCAGGACCGCTAGCCCCTCTAAGATAGTGAAAAGAAAAAGGAAATAAATGAAAAAGAAAACAGTTATTAGAAGCGATGAGGGTTTCACACAGCGAAACCTCAATGCTGCTCACAAGAGTTTTCTCCGCGAGAGTTTTCCTTTTCACGAAACATATATCTTTGCCACTCTAAATCTTTAAATTTAGAAGGAGAGCTTCGATCCAGTCCTAACAACATTTCTAAGGCGATAGATATCAATATTTTTATTTTTGTAAAGTCAGTTCTCTTTTTCCTTCGGCCTTGGCTGCGATCATTATTTCTTGGTACTTCTTTCCGATGTGGTACTCTTGCTGTGTCAGCCCCTGATTGATACCTACTATTTTGCATGGAGTTCAGGAAATGGTGCACTATTACTTGTAATAGAAGGGGTGCAAACGACAAAGAATTGTTTGAGAAGCGTTTCACTTACATAGATCCGAATAAAAATATTTCGATTCCACAACTATCTTAATTGCTCAACCTTTGTGTTTGCTCAACCTTTCAATGGCTATCCATCACCCTTCCATCCTATTCACCAACTTACCTTGGAGGAGGTTTGTAACATGACTTGTTAGAGCCTACCAGTGACGCAGCCTCCCGAAAGAGATGGCACACTGCAATTGTCAAATTCATTCGCTCTTCCTGTGCAAGAAAAATGCAAGAAATCAGTCATTGGCCTTGATTAAAATGGAAAATTAGTAAAGTGATAATATCTCGACTCAGTTGGCTCACCAAATCAAAGGAACTTTTAGTCTTACAGAAGTCTGAGGTGGATGTGGGAGGCGCGTGCTTGTAAGACACAAAAATATCCTGCATTGAAAGGAAGAAAATCAAAATTACTGAAGGAGAAAACAACATAAAAAAGAAAAGTTGAAGATGTGTTTAAGGTAAATATGTGGGAGTGGGGCATTTAAAAGTTAACATTTCGGCCAAAGAATACTTTTTATATCGGTAAGTTTGACTAAATTGTCACAACATCAATCGCAAACAAACCATATTTTCCGTTTTCTGATGAATGACTGGCCTTATCGGGAACGTGGGACAAACAGAAAATCCGAAACGTTATGGAGAGTGTCACATGGGAACCTAGTCAAGGCTTAATCCAACAGAGAGTGTTATTCCATGGCCAAGCTCAAATTCTACTTCCAGTGTTATTCAATCGGAGAGTTGACTTTCTTAAGATTCAACCGTCGTGCAAAAGAGTGGTTTCTGTACCTGACAGAAGATCATCGTGATATTAGCGTTCTTCGGAGTGACGGGTGTTAATAACATTTTTACGGCTTGGAAGAGATTGTTGTAGATCTCAAAAAACACTCTGTTGTTTTGAAAACGCCCTATTGAAGCAGAAAACTCTCGTGAAATGTCAAGAAAGTTTGTAATGTTCACCTCCGTAATCTGAAAAGCAAACAATAAAACAAAGAAAGGATCTTAAAATATAGTCTATTCCTTCCATGTTCTTCCTACGTTGTGAAGTTAGATCACGTGAAAGGTCATATTAACTGCAGAATTACAGTCGTTTTATTCGTTTCTTTGTTTGTTTGTTTCTTATCAGTTGTCAGCTGCGGAGAAGGAGTGGAAGGGACCGCAAATTGCAAATACACCAGTTAGAGTCAGACTCTTTAAGAAGCATAACTGTTAGTAAAAAAAAAAAATACCAGCAGCAACTTAATTGTACTCCGATCAACACAAAACGAGGAAAACCGAAAAAAAATAAGAAGGGGTGTTTTCTTTCTATATTAGCAAAGAGTAAAAAAGACCAGGCGGCCAAATGATCCAAAATGAATTACAATACTGGGAAGATACACAGCATCTAGAAAAAATAGTTCGCAAAAAATCACCGACTGGATAACTACCAAAGAGGAAAGAGAAAAGAAATTATGTGTAACGCAAAAAGCGTTTTACTGACTTTGCGAGAGGGTATAAAAAGAAAGAACGCTACCTTTTGATTGAAGTAATCAAGAAGACCTTTATTTTCACATTTACATTTCTCGTCTAAGAGTCTCCACATGGTTGTATATTTGCCATAAACGCATTCAAACTGAAGCGTTCCTAGAAAGAAGACAGTTACATGTGCAATATCAGGAACGACCTAATTTCTCTCTTTGAATGGGAGAGCAACCTTTAACAACTTCTGCCTGAAAAGGTTACATCCGAAATAGCAATCTATGATGAACTCTCCGGAAAACTGTCTATTGCTCCATTCACAACCGCAAAACATGTTCGGTGAAACCAGGTTTAACTGAGTGAAAATCAGTAACAGAAAACGAAAACATCAATTCGAGAAGCTCCTATTAAAAAGAAATTTAAACAATGTTTAATAAAACAGGTTCAAACGTGTTTTCCCTTAGGTGTAAAGGTGGTACAAAACTTAAATTTAGCCTTTGTTTGCAAAATATTACTTTCGTAAAACATTACCGAAGAGTTTTAAGGATTAAGCCGTGTATATGTACAAGTCAGAAACATTTCAGATAGCTCTCTTTGAGACGTTTAATGGAAATTAAAACATGGTAACATTTTCTACAATAACATTATCCAACATATTTCAGTGAACGTCTTTCATACTTTAATAATTTGGATATATCAACAAAGTTGAAATGGTAAATTGGCCACCGTAATGATTACAAAAGCTGACGTTTCGAGCGTTAGCCCTTCGTCGGAGCGAATTTACCATTTCAACTTTGTTGATATATCCAAATTATTTCGTTACTCCCACCGACGCAGCCCCAAACAGTTTCTTTCGAAACTATCAGCCTTTATTCTTTCATACTTTAAGAAAGGCACATAAATTGCAATATTTTTTATATAGCAAAGAAATTATTCAGTTGGCCAACTTTTCAGTGCAATTGTAGATGTCTTTGCTATTCTTGCTTTTCACCAAAAAAAGATAGCCTGATAGAAGGGAAATCCCCTCTCGTCTTTTACAGGTAACGAAATGGGGGAAGTTATGTTCAAAGAATGAAACACTAGAGAGAGAGAAGTACCTTCCAAAGGATATTTGGAATGATCGGGGTGCGGAAAACATACACCTAAGATTGAGATGATCAGACTTGGTTACCGGAGAAATAATGAAAATCATTGGTACTCCACCAAGCTTTCATCGACCTAGCCGCTTTATTTGTCATTTTTTTCTATAATTTTTCAATCAGCCAGCAATCGAGGCGTCACAAACTCTCCGGATCAAAAGGTATTGTGTTCGTTTCAATTAAAACAGACCTGTTAAGGATGGATCCATTGCAGAGCACTGTCGTATTTCCTTTGCAGAAGAAGCTGACCTTGGTAATTTAAAAGACAACATATTTTTCGAGGCACAGTAACCTAAAAAACAGAGTCGCAGCGTTAAGAAAAATTCAATAAAATATTACATCTCCCAGATACGACTCTCCTTTAGTTTCTTGGAGAAAACTTGGTGTTCTTTCTTTCCTATGTATACTATCGTCTACCTGAGTAATCGTTTATTCGCATTCTGGCTACGTAACGATTGCAGATTTTTTACTTTCTAAGAATGGAGGGAAGATCGTGGAAAAGGAGAAAAAAATATTTAAGTACAATTAATCTGACCGAAAGCGACGGATCAAGGCTCCATATAAGGAAACGCAGAGTACAAAATATGTATGCCTCTAGTTAGCGAGCGTTTGTTTGGCAGAGGAAAGGTACTTTAACATCATGATGGTCCAGCTAAAAAGTCTGAAGAGAAGAGACAGAGATCTGACTGACAATATTATTGTGAGATTAAATTCTGATTGCAAAACTTAGACCAGGAGCAACTCCCTGGGGCTGATGCTTGGTAATTAAATTCATTCAAAGTAAAAAAATGTGAAGATGAAGAAGTGAGCTCCGAGATGCGATGCCGTGACATAGTTAGCGAGGTAGTCTATTATTTCCTATCATTGTTTCTTATTATTTAATTTCACTTACAAATCCTTTCTTCCTTTATTCATAGGTACAACTTGTCATAAAAAGTAACTAAATATGATAACTCACATTGGTCACAATCGTCCTCATCTGATCCATCAGAGCAGTCATTAACAGAACCATCACACCGATTATCTATCGACAGAATTTCGTCTCCACTTTTGCACAAGAAAAGGTCGTCGTACAACGAGGTGATGTTTCCTATGTCTATGAAAGAAGGAAAAAAAACAACAAAAGACGTTGAGTGAACTCGAGCGAATGCTTCCGTTCCTGAGTATCCTATTTGGGGGCTCGGCATAAGTGGTTGTGCCCTCTAATAACGATAATTATAACAGCTCCATGGAAAATATGTCTCCTCTATGTCACAATAACTCAATGTGTTATATTTTCATTACATCTGCAGTTACATATTTCTGACCTAATTTTGAAGTCTGCGCGCAATTCACTCGGCGTTGTTCAACATAGCAACCAGCCCTCAGTGTCTGATCGTAGGTGCTACAAAAGAAATGGATATCTTTTTCCTTCCAGCTATCGCCTTCAAAGTAGATGGTGCCATTCCACCTGCAAGCTAGAGGAAAATAAAAAAGGTGTGGACAGTCAACCAGTTTACTAGTGACTAATATGCATACCAAACATCGTGTATGCTGAAGCCGAAATTATTTCTCAAGCTGTTTGTCACTCTAGTGAACGAATTTTTTCACAAGATTAGGAATAAACATCTACCGTGATTTGCTGCATCACGTTTAGCATCGAAACCTTTAAGCGTTTTCATTTACCTTTACACTTGCCGCGATTTTTGGCCAGAAAACGGGATACATCACACTCATTTTGAATGCAATATTCTGTCAGAGATTCTTCCTCCAAGCTATTTATCACTGAGATCTCTCGTTTGCAGTGGATCTTTCCAGCTCGACAGGAGCACTGAATGCAGTTACCCACTGACCACGTGACCCCCTCGAAGTACTGATTGGACTTTTCATCCTGACACGAGACCTCTATTTACACAAAATGACATTGTTGCATAAAGCGCTCGGATTAAAAAAAATGTCCAAAATAATTCTTAGATACATCATGTGCTGGGTTACAATTAATAAGCAAAAGGCAAGGAGACAAAAGCACCTGTTAGTCTTAGACAATTTCCCAGCCAATTAAAATAGAAACTAGGCACCAGCGTTCGTTAACTACAGATTAAGAGGTTGAAATAATCGATTCATAGTTTCTTAAACATCATTTAAACTACGTACTCATGTGCATCATCATAATCATTATTACCCGACGAACAGCTATTACGACTGGGATCATGCAAACAGCCCAGAGGTTTTTTCCGGCAAAGACCCTCTGAAACCAGCTGGTGACCATTTGAGCATACTGTTAGGTTGCCTCTCAACATTTTTGCTATTTCTTGGAGAGCTAAACAGGAAGAAGATATGATTTTTTTTTTGAGAAGCAAAAACAATGATGTGACAAATTAGCACCACCGGTGGGAGTTGTCCAAAGACAAAGAAAAAAAAAATCTTTTAAAACGTAAAATTAAACTGATTTTCAGAATAAAAACTAGCGATATAAAAGGACGTTTTGGTTTCTTTATGTGTATTTGATAGAAAAAATCAAAGGATGTTTGGTAGTTCCTGTAAGATTTCTCTTCATTCCTTGAAATTTCGAGACTATGTAATAACTATAAATCAAACACAAAACTACTCTGATTGTTTCTAACGATGAGCATATCGGGAAATGTGTTCTCGAAAATAAATTTGAAAGAAATTATTGAAATTAATTTGAAAGGGATCCTCTAATTATTTATCATTAAGAGTATAATGTACCTGCGCACTTAGAGGCACAGCAGATAGTTCCGCTGTAGACATAGCACTCAGGTCTGGCCATGGGAGGACAGACTTCACTGCCATCAAGGTCTGTTCCATTGAAAAACAGTTTGCAGCCTTTGTAATTCCAACTTTGGTGTTTCATTAGGATTCCACCATCCATAATTATCTCCACACCTGAAATAAATCAGAATTGTTCTTCTGTGGATAGATAAAAATCATGACAGAAATAGAAGAAAACTTCTCCAAAAGATATTCAACAGTTTCAACACTACCATAAAATTAATCGTCAGAAATAAAAGCACAATCGTGTTTGCAAACAAGTTGTATACTCAAGGAATTCTAGACTCCTACCTTCACAAATATCTGTCCTCTCTCGAATGAACTGGAGAATCTTACAAGAGGGTTGACGACAGGTCTCTTCTAGCCAAGTGAAACCGTTCTTGTACCCTGGGAAGAACACTTTCACTCTTCTTTGACATGAGATTAGACTCTCATTGCAATGGCAATGAAGACATGGAGACGTCGACCAAACTTGTTCTGACTTGTATCCTAATCCTTCTTCGTCGCGGCAGTTGGCTAAAAAATCGAAGACAACCAATGACAACTATAGGTAACTCATTGGACCTACAAATGGTTCATAACAATAAGAGATCATGCGTGGATAAGTATATTGTCTTATTCCACCTCACTCCCTAACGTTCGCGATCGTACCCATAGTCTAATCAAAGGCTCCTTGGAACTACCTCATGGTATGTATTAATCATTTAATGAAGTTATGAAAACATAAAAATGCTTTAAATAAATTTTAAAATACTCTAATATCCAGGGAGAAAAAAATCCGCCATTGTCTCACCCTCCACACAAAGCAGTGACTCTGGGGACAGAAGCAAACCTAGTAGGGGGCAAGGGATTACGCGTTTAATCCAAGTTTAATGCATAAATTAATTGTGTAACAAACTAGGGTCGAGTGAGTGAGTGAGTGGGTGAATTGTAGATCTATTCATAAACCTCAAAGTATGACTACGTCATACCCCGAGGTAACAAAATACGAAGAATGGAAGATAAGAGTGACTGTAAAAGTCATTTACTCGATCAATGGTGTTAACAGTTAAAGACAATCAAACTACACCTACTTCCACATACGTCTTTTCTCAACTTCATAAATCGGTTGACGTTACAAAAAGGCTGGTTGCAAGTTTCTTTTGACAAAATGATGCGATTTCGATACCCTGCGACGAACACTTTTAAGTCCCTCTGACAATGGATCTGAGATTCCGTGCAATTACATTTAAGGCAAGGAGATATTTTCCAGGTATCATTGTTTCCGTATTTATTCCCTTCTTCGTCAAGGCAAAAACCTGAACGATAATTTCTGTGTCTCAGCAAGATGCAGAATATACTAAATATCTCCTAATTCAGCTTAAAAAGTATCCTTCTTGGATAATTGGTGATCAGGTGTAGACTGTAGGCTTAGTTCAAAGAACACTACGATTCTTGCACAATGTAAACGCTTGGCTGAGACCAGACTAGAGGAGATTATAAAATGGAAAGAAATTCTTCGGTATGCATCTTTTTTATTCTGATCACAGTTTTCAGATAAGCTATTGGAATAAACTACATTTTACCTTTAAACCGGCGAAGTAGCACAAGATCAGGAACGCGTATTGGCCGACTGGGGTAGGTGGGAGTTCTTACTGTGTTGATTCGGCCATTGCAAAAGTTTGTATTCACCGCACTGAAAAGGTGCACGATTACAGCTGCATGGAGGTATCTCAGTTTCACCTCAACCATGACGCAACTGGTAAAGATAAATTATATCAACAAAGTGAACATAAAATGTGGATTGTGGGTGAGATAATACCACTACACCATCCTACCAAAACATTAGCAGTCGTGGGCTGCTGTTTTTTGGTTTTCCCGTCAGTACGACATGAAGGTTGCCATCATTTGGGCTCCTTAATCATTCAATTGTTTTTCATGGCTAATAAGTAAATTTCTAAATAAAAGAACACAGAGTTTCTGAAAATCATCCCTTAATGAGCATTCTATGAAAGTTATTCATAGCAAACATCTGTGAGTATCAAATCTCTTTCATATTTTGCACCTTTCCACAATCCAGCTTAATTTCTTTAAACAAAATCCTCTCAGTGGATGTCAGTACCACACAAACGAATTTTATACCACATTAACCCAATAAAATAAACAGAAAGAATGACGTCTTCTCGCCGAGGAACCGAAATTTGCTAATCACGACCGACTTCCGTCACTCGAGTCTTACAGCCAATAATTTAACGTGTAATTATTGACATGAAAATTTATAGCAATCAAAAGGCAAATCCTCAGTTAAATTTTTAAGTGGTCTTCGCTAAATATACGGAAACGTTAATGTCTGATACTGAAAACTGTCCATTGCACGACGACTCCTACTTAAGGATCGATTGTTAAATTAGAAATGGAATGATCCAGTAGGCCAAAAGGAAAAAGCCACGCCTCAGTTACCAAAGGAAATTTTCCACGTAAACAGAATATTATGCCACGGAAATTACTGAACGGGAGGTAGCCAAGGCGAGCTCAAGGGGTCCTCTTAATTTCAATAGACCTTCTATAACTCTTCCTTATAGAGAAACTGCAATGTGCAGGAAATATTGCTTTGGTCTTCCAAACGTCCGTGTCTCTAAGATTGAAGACAAGCAGGTGTACTACATCTTCTATAGCTGCACGTACGACTAAGGGGGCTAGGTGCGACAGGTCAGGTGAAGAATGATCAGATTTAGAGACACGATCTCGCCGTGAGTTAGCGTATTGCACATTCTTTCTACTGTTATACCTCATACATAGTGTCATTGAAGCAAGGCAGCTTGTTGGATAAAAATCTGCCGTTTCCCCTGGCTTCGTCAATAAGATTGATCCATTTTATAGATAGATTTTGCTAATTGCATTCCCCTTACGTTTGCGTAAAACAAGTAAGTTACGAACTCGCACTAAAAACATCGTGTTTATCCCGGCTTCCTTAAAACATCGCTATGTGCTAAGATAAAGATGGTTTTTTAAATCATCGATGGGCTTTACGTATCTCACATTCGTCGAATTGAAGTTACTGAGCCCCATAAACTATTGATCTACTTCTTCATGCGGCCCAAGGGAAACACAACGAATTTTAAAAAGAGATTAAAGTCTAGAACGGTGATGGTCTGAATTCTTGGTAACACAAATATGGTTAAACAACAAACATATGAAATACATATATATGAACTGCGGTTATGAAACGTATATGTGCACGATCCTTCGCAGTAAAGCACTATTTAAGCAATAGTGAAAATCAGACCTGAAAAAAATTCAGGCCTGTACGGGATTCGAACCACTGACCTCTGCGATACTAGTGCAGCGCTCTACCAATTGAGCTAACAAGCCAACTGGGAGCAGGCCATCAAATTAATTCGACATAAACCCGTAGATGATAAATCAAACAACAAACATATGAAATACATATATATGAACTGCGGTTATGAAACGTATATGTGCACGATCCTTCGCAGTAAAGCACTATTTAAGCAATAGTGAAAATCAGACCTGAAAAAAATTCAGGCCTGTACGGGATTCGAACCACTGACCTCTGCGATACTAGTGCAGCGCTCTACCAATTGAGCTAACAAGCCAACTGGGAGCAGGCCATCAAATTAATTCGACATAAACCCGCAGAAAATAAATAAAACAACAAACATATGAAATACATATATATGAACTGCGGTTATGAAACGTATATGTGCACGATCCTTCGCAGTAAAGCACTATTTAAGCAATAGTGAAAATCAGACCTGAAAAAAATTCAGGCCTGTACGGGATTCGAACCACTGACCTCTGCGATACTAGTGCAGCGCTCTACCAATTGAGCTAACAAGCCAACTGGGAGCAGGCCATCAAATTAATTCGACATAAACCCGTAGATGATAAATCAAACAACAAACATATGAAATACATATATATGAACTGCGGTTATGAAACGTATATGTGCACGATCCTTCGCAGTAAAGCACTATTTAAGCAATANATTTACTAAAAACAAGAAGAAATGAGCTGAAAACAACTGAGTGGCTAATGACTGTAACAAACATAAAAAATACAGCTTCTAAGCTACGACAGAATCCGCAATATAACCCTATGAAAAATGTGCTAATTTAACACATTTAAAAACCACAAGAAAAGGAGCACTGACTGATTTCTGGGTGAACGAGAACATGCGGGTCACCATCAGATTTGCGGTTTATTTTTTATCAAGGGTAAATCAAACATATAATGAATGAAAGAAGGTTTTATTGACGTTTTGTCCACGTATCCATGTATCCATCTAACATTCCATCCAAAAATATTTTCTTCATCGACCAATCCACCTATCTATTATTCATCTAATTATGCATTCATCCGTTTCTCCATCAATCCTCAAATCTTTCTGTTGTTGGATCGGGGCCCAGTTGTTTAAGGGTCGATTGGCACTAACCCGGGGTTAAATTTCAATCCGAATTTCTTTTCTTTTTGTTCAAAAGCACATTCTTGGATGATTTTCTCGACTCTTGTAAGAGCACTCAATCATCAAAATTTAGACAAAATGAAATAACCTAGTTTGCATATTAAGCTTTCATATATAAATAAAAATTTCACACAAGCCCTTGGTTATCTTAACTCTGCTTTAAACAACCCGGCAAGGATAGCAAAGCCTTGTATTCCAGTATTTTTGACCGTCTTGGAAATAAATTTGTCAATTTGATTATTTCGTCATGGACTTCTCATGCACTAAACGTCATCACTTGGTTTCCTCTGGTGTTTGATTGCAAATAAAAACGGCGAAACAGGCTCATTCATCTCCACGGATCGACGGCCGGCAATTACTCTAAATATTTTGACGGACAACGTCCCTTTCTAGTTACTTGAGCAGTGAGATAAAAAGCTCGCACACAATACGGCTGATCTAAGCTCTGGTGGGCTTTCGAGCCTCTCTTGTATTTCCACAAAAGAAATTCGTTTCCGTTTCTGGGTCTCGCTCCCAAGTATCATCTCCCCGTTTCAGTCGGCGGCTTTCATCGCGAACTCCGAAGCCAAAATGTAAAGCAAGTATCTACCAAACAATCCTTTGCAGAACTGTCGGATTTGAGGTACCAAATTCTCCGCAAGGTAAAAGCTTGTCCTCTTCTGTTTCTGTTAACTCAAGTTCTGTTTCTTTAACACTCAGAACGTCCCTCAAAGCTTTAGACTATCACCCTCGACGATGTTAATGTTTCAGCCGGCCTCGTTCAGGGAACCCTGCGTACTCCATTAGAGTGTCAGGCTCGTACTCTCCACCGCCCAGTTTCATTACGTTTACTAAATCAAATTCAGTTCTCCGGCCTCGCTTTCCGTGAGACAAGACCGCTTCCACGCTTTCATATCACTTAATGTTTTAATTTTTTGTATTTTCAGGTTTTTGTTCTGCAACAAACTCACAAAGTTCGTTTATGCTTTCTTTATTTAGCATTTCCTCTGCTGCTTTTTGCGAATCCATCGCAACAATAGTCCAAATTAATAACCTTAAAGGAACGCTCAAGCAATTTTTTTTCTTGCACGGGGTCAAAGCGGGCAATCCCAAGTGGCAAGATGGGCTCGAGTAGCCAATCATAACATAGGATACGCAGCACATTGCCCACCACTGCAGCTCACTGTTGACAGTTAGAGGGTTGAGTGAAAGCCACATGCATTCTTTTTAGTCAAACTTAGAGTTATAAAGAGAAATGACTACGACTAGAGAATAGTGCACTGCTATTGTTCAGCATCAAAACACATTTTTACTGATAATCATCTTTAACAGAATTAAGCTTTTAATTTGTATAATTGCTTCAACGGGACTTGAACCCATGTCTGTCAGATATAACTCGGGTGCTACTACCAACTGAACTACCAACTGAACTACCAACTGAACTACCAACTGAATGACCAAATGAACTACCAACAGAACCACCCACAGAACGACAAACGCAACTACCAACAGAACAACCAACCAAACCGCAAGAAACACGAGAAGCGACCAACANCTACCAACTGAACTACCAACTGAACTACCAACTGAACTACCAACTGAGCTACCAACTGAACTACCAACTGAACTACCAACTGAACTACCAACTGAGCTACCAACTGAGCTACCAACTGAACTACCAACTGAACTACCAACTGAACTACCAACTGAACAACCAACTGAACTACCAACTGAACTACCAACTGAACTACCAACTGAACTACCAACTGAACTACCAACTGAACTACCAACTGAACTACCAACTGAACTACCAACTGAACTACCAAGCGACAAGTTGTTCAAAATGCTACGCGATGTACATAAAAAGTTAATAATGACATCAACAAACAACGAAGCCTCAGCTTCAAGTATATTCATCACAGTAAGTGACCTCAACCTTAAGATGTTTTGCGCCGAAAAAGATCCAACGATTCACTATTTGGGCGATTACCAATGCCTAAATCCCTCTAAGAGCTTTAAAAAATTACAAAGCGATAGTATGTGTCCCTTTTTTTTGAAATATTCCAACCTTTAGAGAAGCAAAAACGAAGCAACACAGCTTTTTAAACAGCATAACGGATATATATACCATCTACAGGGTGTAAGCTATAGTGCAATTCACACTCTTCCGCTCTCAAGGATGATGAATAAGTAATTTGTCCTTCTTAAATTGCCTCTTCTTTGTCACTTCATCCAGGAAGACCTATGTTAAAAATATGAAAACAAAATGGCCATTATAGTGTAGCATCTTTGTACCCTGGGTTACTCATCTTCCATTTTTACCACAGAGAATCTCAAAGCCCTCCTATAATAATGTTATTACAGCTTCCAGAGTATACTTTCCAGGATGCAGACAAAAGTTAATTCGACGTTACAGGTATATACCTCAGACCGCTGACAATGGTGTATACAATCAGCTGGGACAGATTGTCTGACATTCTCAAAATAGATGTATCTTTTTTGAAATATAAGGCTATTGCAGTCTTTGTTGTATAATAGGGAGTCAAATACATTGAACGATTATAATATTTTGAATACTAGACTGTGAAGAGAAAGGGCCAAGTTATTAAGCAATCCATTTATCATTGTTTCATTTTGGTTGGGTTTATAAAAATCAAATTTGTGTTACCACAGTTCTTCTTTTCGTCGCCTTACGAGTTCCTTCCTTTTCTCATTTTAACATTGGAAAATATAGCTGTTGACGTTTCTGAACCCAATGAATGTTTCTTAGATAGAAATTAAATTAAGAAACCGACGTGCAAATATTACCAAAATCTTCTTAGCTCACCTGAGTTGAGTTGAGCACAATGAAGAGGCAACGCAACGCATCATTGAACTGTATGAATCCAAACAAATACGTGACACCGAGTAAAGGAAGCAAAGCAAGAGTACTCCTTACTCCTTTCCTGTGGTAGGTAGATAAACACACAAAGAAAAGGTTCAATTAGTAAATTAAGAAAAGGTGAAAACAATTAAGAGATAAATGCACAATAATTTACGCCCATATTATGAGCTCTCGAAAACCTATCGACCAGATTGACGAAAACGTACACGTAGTTTAAGCATAATTATATTAATGTTATCAACAAAGCTATGTGGAGAGGCGATGTGTCTCACTTTGTGGCCTCCAAATTGTTTTTACTGTATTTGGACGCCAGCTTCCCAAAGACTCCTCGCAGAAGAATGGCAAAGTGACAACGTTTGCCTGGAAAAAAAAAAAAAAGAGTAGCAAAGAAAGAAAAGCAAAACGGAATAACACGATAAACAAATGAAACCTTAAGACATTATTTTCATTCAGGTCTTTTGAAATACAAAGAAGAAAGTGAGACTTCTGAGATAACCTAAGATGCTCTAACGATACTGTGAGTTTACTTCAGCGAATGTGATCCGAGAACTGTAAGAACGAGAGGATGGGCGTGAACTTTCGCTAGGAGGGTAACGATTTTGGGGTATAAAAGAGGTGCTTGTTCGAAGAGGATGCAAGCTGGAGCCGAAGGGGGCTACAGGAGGATTTACTGTTATTCTTGAGAATAAAGACACAAAAGCAGCGAAAATACCAGAAGAATGGCCAAAACTGGTCCTCTGAAAATCCACTGGTTTTCGTTGAGCCAGCATCTAAAGGGTTGTTTTATGAAGAGTGTTAGAAAAAAGTTAAACGAATTTTTATGTGAAAATGTAGTGTGATCGTCCGGGTGAGTGTAGTCCTGAGAAGAACTGTTGTCGGTGGTGGTGACTGACGTTTCGCAAACCTGTGCGGAAGTCATCTGAGATTCAAGTGAATAGTTGTTGTCAGTAGAATGTTCTTAGTCCATTTAGTGTAAAATGATAAGTCAGTTTTTCCGTAATGTTATTGGCTGTAAGACTCAGGTGGCGTAAGTCGGTCGTGATTGGTCTGTTTCCATCCGCCGGTAAAGTTAGGTCGTTCTGTTCGGTTTGCTTGTAATGTTAATGTCGTGAATGAGTCTTTTGCATGGAGCCGGTAGTAGTTGACATCTGTTTAGAGGAGTCTGTTCTAAGTTAATAAACTACCTTTCCAGAGTCATTCGTTGAAAGTAGTTGGTGCTGTAGGTTAGGCATTGCGCAGAGTCCCAATCAATATTGTGGTTCGCAAGTCGATGAGGTTCAGCAATGTGATTGTTGACATCACCTTTCCTCGTCGCTCTTCTGTGTTCAGTCAATCTTGTCGCAAGGTTTATGCCAGTCTCTCCAATGTAGGAGGCTTGGCAATCGGAGCAATTGATCTTATAAATCGCTCCCTGTCTGTTCCT